TATCGTGCGTTAAGTATTGTGATAATATCGTATCGTGGGATGTATGGTGATTCCCACCTCTACTGGACACATGAGACTAAAGTGGAGATGATGCACAGCACCACGTTTGGAGAAAACCAAAAGCTGCAAATTGGCACAAACACCTCACAGCAACAGCTAAGAGAAGCGGTGGAGGGCTGATAATCAGGTTTGTGAGGTGAGGTGTCCTGTGAAAAACGGACACGGTGGGTTTATTAAATAACCCGCTTGGAGCTCAGGTGTACCCTAACCCTAACCCGCATCAACACATAAAACATCCAATTTGTTAACTAACCTTGGAAAAAAAGACATTTTATACAACCTATATTTAAACAATGATGTTAGCTGAAGAGCTTTGTGCCTTTTATAATAATTCTCTGACAGATGAGAGGATCTGAAACTATAACAAACAGTAGTTTTCTTAAATAAAGTTTTTACTGAATGTGAATATCTTACTTGGCATGAAAAGGACTTTTCAGTATAAATTTCTTTTTACACTCACGCCATAGCCACGTTGCTGCCGTCTATGATGATGTGTCTGAGGTCTGGGCGTCCCGGCTCGTTGGGCAGGTTCAGCTTGTAGGGAGTCCTCAGCGACTGATGGAAACGAGCCAGGCCAGTCACCGGTGGGGCCGGTGGGTCATTTGTGGGCGGCGTCCGTGCTGCTGCCCCGTGGAACCCCGTGTGGCTGATTGTCTGGTAGGAAGAGGCTGAGGGTCGGGCGATGGGCTGAGCTGACTGACGAGACAAAGAGACGTGATGTCACTGATGGTATAAATCCACCAGACGCAGCTGTCCAGGCGCGTGCTGCGTTTAAAATAACTGCTCATTCCCAGCTTTGTCGTGTGTGTGTGAAAAGACAACAGACACAAAGCGCCACCTGTTAAACACACTATTCTTGACTGAACACTGGGGCAATACCTACACTGGTGGTTGAAGCCAGGGATGCAGTGGTGGCCGTCAGCCACTGAGGCGTGCTGCGCAGCGCCGTTACGGTCTCGACCTTCACCGATCCCCCCAAAGTCTGAGTCCCACCTCGGGACAAGTAGTCCCTCTGCGGGATGCCGCCGCCTCCTCGTGCCAAATAGTCGGTCCTGGAACCCGACTGCGCGTTGAGGTGCGCCACCGCGATCATCCGAGACATTCTGTCTGCCGTTTTGGTATCAGTGGGGATGATGTCGTCATCGTCATCAATGGTAATGACCTCATAGTTTCCTGCTCCTCCTTGAGCGCTCGAGCTCCTCTTAATAGTGATCGCCTGAAATGAGGTTCGAATCAAAGTTTAGCACGTGTACAACGCCTCGCCACGGGTTAAAAAAGGCATCACATCTGCTAAGATCTCAGAGGTTATCTCAGGTGAAGTATCAGAGAACAAGATGAAAGATAATAAGAAGCAGAGAGAATAATATAGAGGATGTACATGTGAAGACAGGATCGCTACAGCTAGACCTTTGGCTCTACGTCTGTCTCTGTGAGACAAAGAAGTAAAGCTGGAGTGAGTTATTGTCAAGTACCTGCTGAGTGCTCGTTTCGCTGCCGCTGCACTGCCTCCTGTGCCCAAGCCCATTGCTGCTGCTTCCATACTGGTTGGGCTTGATGTTCTCTTTAGATCTCCCCGGGTCCGCCGACAGCCTGCTCAGCTCGAGCTCCTCTCTGAAGCAGGAGGCTGCAGAGACGGATGACGATGAAGAGCGAGCGTCTGAGGTGCGCACAGAGTTTAGTCTTCTTTCTTTTTCCCCTCCTTTCAAGCTCTCTTCACAACGCTTAGTTTCCTCCACGATCTTCTCAAGGACGAGGAAGGTATCTTCCGTCTGTCCCGTTGCCTTGACAACACGTTCCACCACTTCCTGCTGGTAACCCATGGTTCTGGGGAAAATATGATGCATGTTACATTACTGGTGGCTATAATGCATCCGCTTGTCTTTATTGGCTGTAAAGAGAGCCATTCAATTCAGGTCAAGAGAAACTCAAACAAATCAAGTAACATTACTGGGTTCGTTGTGTCGTTCAGGCTCACCTTTCTTGTCACAGCTCATACTGACGAACCGCTCAGCAGTAGAGTTTTTGTTTTGTATACTTTATTAATCTCCTGTACGGAAATTACTCCCTGTATTTAACCCATTCACTCAGTGAAGCACTGGGCAGCCAATCCAGCGCCGAGGGAACAGTGTGTAGGGATGGTACGTTGCTCAGGGGTACCTCAGGGTAGCTGTTTGGTGTGTTTGAACCCCCGACCCTCCGATCACAGGGCGAACGCTCTACTGAGTCTACTGAGCTTACCCACCTGAATCTAATCCAGTGCCATGTAACACATCTTGATGCATGCTCAATCATCCAGGATGAGCTTTGATCAGTGGTTGTTGATCAATGGTTATGAGAATTTGCACATTAATGATCAAGGAGCTGACCTCCCAGCCCTTGGTCCATTCAGTGGTGCTGGTTTCAGCCATTGTGCAAATGTCCTGTTTATAAGATTGAAACCTGCAGTTAGCTGAGACTGAGGACGTCACCTGATGATGACAAAATGTTTCTCCCACTGAAAACGTCCAGGTGAACAGAATCAACTTTCCAAATTGGTTCAGTGACCTCGTCCCAGACATGCTGTCTGCCTCTCTTCATTCAAACATTATGAGTTGAAGGTAACGTATAAATGTTATGTGATGTCCCACCTAGTCATCACGGCTTTAAGGGAAAGCTGACTGGACTGCACATTCAGACAGGAGTCATTAAGAGATCAATGAAAAGGGTACGTGAGGTTGACTCGTTCTCTTATGATCTCACCACAAATGACTAAGGAACACTGCACAGTGAAACTCAACAGTTAGCCACTCGATTCAACTGGATCACTGAACCTTTGTATTACTTTAATTTGAACGTCCAAATGTATGTTTGTACTGTATGCATACCAGGGGTGGGGAAAA